TCTCCAGGTAAGTTCATAGAGAGACAGGTAGACCCCCTAGAATCGACCCAGTCTTTGTTCCTTGCCTTGTGCTTCTTTATGCATCACTTTGTGTGTATCACTTCCCAAAAACGTGTCTTAAAACTCTTGAAGGAAACAATCCTATGCACAGGTAGATCCAGAAAACGTTGTTTGACTCCTACCATTTTCCAGCTAGGACTGGGTTCTAAATGCACTGGATGGACCTGAATGACCAAGCAAGCTGCCTCGTGGGAACCAACAGCTTCATACTCGCTCTCAAGCAGATCAATCTCAGTGAGAGTCTTTTCTTCTCCTTCTCAGTTTTGAGAAGGGTTGGATTAAGAACAGACATGGGATGTGTTTATATGAAGACATGACCCATTTCAGGCCATTCTTGGAGTTTGAGCCAAGTGGAGGAAAAAGCTGAAGATGTTTGAGTGGAGCAGATGAAGGTAAAATAAGTTTCTACTTGGTCCAACAGGATTCAGATGTTCTATTTACTGGGACCCCTTTCTGCATGAATGTGGCCCTTCAACACCTCTTAGTCCAGAAACCTGGTACATAGCAGAGGATTCTGGAGATTTTTCTGTTTTGTATCTGCAGTCCAGGTAGGACCTCGGCAGAGCTCTGGGACTTTCTACAGGCAAAACATACGTGCTACAGTTGAACTGCATCAGTGATTGGGCATTGCATGCATTGCAGTGTTAGCTGAGGGGGGTGGGCTGGATGGATACAAACTGTCAAAGGGAGAGACCATCCAGGATATCCCACAATCGAAACAGTGAGAGGTTTCCCCATTGACTTTAGTGTAATGCGGATTGCACCCCAAAAGGAAGGAGGTGTCTCTTCTTAAGCCAAAGGTTCTTGTTTGTTTGGCTGCAAGGGCTCATGCTTCTCACATTGAGTTTGCAAGCAGAACTGGTAGTTGACATCCATTTTAAGAGCACAAACAACAACTGCAGTAAGGTTTATGATTGCAGTTTTCTTATACAGCTCTGCAACAAGATCGGCTCCAGGCAGCTGTCAGCCAGTTACACCCTGCAACCCTTAGTGTGCCAGGCTTGGTTGAGAAAGGGAGGTCTGGCAGTCTTCAGGCATGAGCTGGGATCAAAGGAAACCCAACAAAGTGGATCAACACAAATCCATTGTTTCATCTTGGGATTCCCCTTTGGGGATGAAAGACCTTGATCCAACAGGAGGGCACAAATATCTTTGAAACTGTTGAGAATCTTGATAGCAGGCTAAACTTGCAATCCTATGCACTTCTATCTAAAAGCAAGCCTCATGGAACTCAACAAGTCTTACTCTGAAGTAGGCACAGGATTTTATTGTAAATCTGCACCTCCCCAAAATCAGTAATGAAGATCTTTCTTCTCTAGAAGAAGAACCTGGGTTTTGCCAGGACTTCTGCTATTACCTGCTTGGAAGAATCAGAACCGCTAGCCTGCAAAAGGGCTTCCCCATAGTCTTCTGCCAAACTGAGGTCTACCTTCTTCAGCTATATTACTGATAATTTCTCTATATACTGGCTGGATTGTTCTTGAGGATTATAGAGAAAGTGCAGTTTCTGCTACTCTGCTTGGAAGTGAGTATGGGCACTTCTGGAATTCAATCTTGGGCAAACTGTAGCCCTCTAGGTGATTCCACACAGCCTCCTACAGTGGCTTGGGCTGATGGGAGTTGCCAGCCAAAGCATGGAGGACCGAAGGTGGCACATCTCTGTAACAGAGGCCCAGTCGTCCTCTTGTGTTCCGAGCTTCATGATATGCATGTTGCTCAAACTGTCCATTTGCTTCAAGGTCAGGTCTCATGTGAAATGAAGTTCTGCTTAATTCTCTTACAGGAATTCAACTGTGTTATATGTAAATGTGTAGAAGAAATATTAGGGAGAAATAGATGCAGGTAGTGAGTGAGTGGAAGAGAGAGACCCCAGTGAGACCCCTCTGCATACAGCTGGCTTCATGTTAATTTTTTTCTAAGCAATTTCATTTGACTGATTGATTGATTATGCATTAGAAATCTTCCCCATTAAAAGATCTGGGCTGCAAACAATAAATATTACCTTGGGCAAACAATCACAGAAAGCAACAAGATAAAATCCCAAAGCATTCTTAAAAGCCTGGTTAAAAATATAATAATGCCCACACACTGATGCTGGTAGAGGTGGACCTTGGGATTGAAGTCCAAGGTGCTAGAGCCTCAATTAGCCACCAAGAGAACTGGGGGAAAGTAGGGGGAGAGTCCTGCACCAGCACCAGGGCTGGGATGCATAGATTGTTGCTGATGCTGCTCTCTAAAGCATCATTTCTTTCTAGTTTTAAAAACATATTATAATAAGCAACCATGCATCTAGTGACTGAAGCCCATGTTCTAATTTTTATTATGAAATATATTATCCTTTTGCACACAGAATGATGCCAAGTTCCAGGGCAATGTGGTAGCATAGAGGCAGCAGATGCAAATTCCCTGTAGATGCCTGTATTCATTAAATGAGTTTAAAGTGCAAATCTGCACGTGTTTAGAGTACTGTTTTGTTTTGTTTTTTAAAGTCGGGGTTGACAGCCCTTTTGTTGCTTATTTGTTCTCTAACTTATCAAGAATCCGGCCTCAAGGTGAGTAGGATTACACCCTTTATCCTTCAATTCCAGGATCAAAAACTGATGGAGCTATAAGGCCGTGCACAGGCAAATACAGAAGTTTCCACTTGGCACTAAAGTGCTTGCAAGGTTTTATTTTATGTATTCTATTTCTACATGGCCCATCAGCTCAAAGGCTACCTGGACAGTTCACAGAATCAGAAGTACAATAATTAATATAAAACAATCATTATAACACCACAGTGATTTAAATCCAATGGAACATTAATGCAATAATACAACAACTGCAGCTAAATCTATCTGAGAGTTACAGTAATAAAATACAGGAAAAATTGGAATAAAAATCTAACTATTAAAATATTGGGAAAACAAAAAGTTTTCACCTGGTTCGAAAAAGAACAAAGAGGGATTGCCAAGTGCACCTCTTTGAGGATCTGATGGGGTGCCACAACTGAGAAGCCCCTTCCCCTAGTAGCCACCTGTCTTATAGGTTGGCAGTAGTCACACTGCAGACCTCCAGAATCCCATAACAGATTTTCTGTCTTGTAATGTTCTCAGGACAAGTTCCAATGAAATGAACAGGAGCTGTCCCAGAGGGACTGGCATTAGATGGCAGGACTTCCCTTGGTCCACTTCATTTCTTTTTGAGAGTTGGCATGAATGGACCGAAGAATTGGTTTGGATTGGATCCAACCAATAAGGGAGTCCAAAAAAGATATTCTTCCATCTGATTTGCATTTGGAAGAGATGCTGAAAATCCCCTTTAGGTTGTATCCTGACTTCATTACACTTAAAGTAGATCCACTGAACCCAGTGTTAGTTGTACATACAGTAGACCCATTGAAATGAGCAGAATTTTGATTAGTCATGATTAAATGTGGTCTCATTGATTTCAAGGAGGTCTATTGCAATTATGATGAACTCTGGAGAGAACCTTTTTGTTTGGGAATGCTGGAATCCGAAGCAGGAAGGGCTAGCCTGTACTATTGACGATCAAGTCTTATTTGGAAAACATGCTGAACACCTTCCTTAAAACTACAGCTAAAATTTTGCACACATATATGAATGGTTAAAGAAAGAGAGAGAGCAGAGGAAAGATAAATGGAAAAAGAAAGGGAAAGGCAGATGAGAAAAATAAAGGAAGGATGGAGATGAAAGAAGGAAAGAAAGAGGTGAAGGAAGGAAGAAGACAACGGCAGATGAAAAGAAAAAAGAAAGAGCGATGAAGAAAGGAAGGTTTTTGTTTTAACACTGTCAGGTACCCATCCCTCAAAGGGTGCAGCATGAATTAAGTCTAAGGAATAAGATAAGCATTTTTCATTTCTCAAATGCCCCCCTCCCGAAGAACGTGACCAGAGGGTGGCCCGCTGCGACCAGAGGTGGGCTTCCCCACTCTCGGCAAAGTGTCAAGGCTTGAGATATCAGAGGATCCGGATGCAAATTTGGGTGGAGGTGGGCGGGAAAGAACACCCACCAGGCGGATCGGGCTCCTTTCAAGCATCTGTGAAGCAATCACCCGTTCGCATTCCGCTCTGGGCTGATGCATAATGCCGGGGAACGGTCCTTCACGGCCGCGCAGTGTTTCTGCTCATCACTTCCCCGCTGGAGGGGAAGGCGGTGGGTGGAGTTGCCGGAGAAGCAGGACCGCGTGGACGTTGCAGAAAGTTTGACAGCTTGTTAACATCAAAGACTCGCAAGATTAGGCGCATCAGGTATAAAAAGTGTCAGTCCTGGAGGAGTGGAGGAGAGAGCGAGCCGCCGGGCGCACGAGGCTAAGACCTTCTTCCGCTGGAAAGAAGAACGTAGGAGAGGGAGAGAAGGGAGAAGGGAAAGAAAGAAGAACCCCAGAGAGGCAGAAAGCGCTCTGGTTGAGAAAATAAAAAGCCAGGAAGCATCTGGGGGGTGGGCGAGAGGGAGCGCACGAGAAGGGAACTTTTGCTTTAGAAGAGAGCGGAGAGACAGAAAGGAAGAAGAAAATTCTTTCTTGGGGACAGAGAGAAAGGAAAAAGAACAGCCTGGTTTAGAGCAGAGTGGGAGAGGGAGGAAGGATGCTTCGATCCGAGGGAGAGAAAGAAAAGGCGCTGCTTTAGAGGGAGAGGCGAAGGGAGGGAGGAAATTCTGTTCTTGCGGGCAGAAAGAAAGAAAAAAAGGAGCAGTCTGGTTTAGAGGAGAGAGCGAGAGAAAGGAAGAGAAAGAAAGGTTCTACTTTGAACGGGGAGAGAGAGAGAGGAAGGAAGGAAGGAAGGAAGGAAGGAAGGAAGGAAGGAAGGAAGGAAGGAAATTTGTTCTGGAGTGGGGGGCGGAGAGAAAGCATTCTGATTTAGAGGGAAAGGGGAGAAAGGAAAGGCTCTTCCTTTCCTTTTGAAAGGAAGGGATCAGGCAAGCAGAGCCCCGGCTGAAGAGATGCCTCGCCGGACTGCCTCGGTCGCGGGGCTCCTGTCGTGGGCAGTGGTCCTCCAGAGCCTGGCCGGCCCCGAGCCCGCAGCGGGGCTCTTCCAGACGCCCGCGCAAGAGGGGGCCTCCCCGCCAGAAGCTGCCGCAGCCTCCGCTCGCCCGCGGCACCCGGCGCTCATGCTGCAGCTGTACCGGTCGCTGGCTGCCGGGACCCGCCCGCGCCAGCCCGCCGCCCTGCGAGAGGCCGACTCGATCTTCAGCCTGGCGGCCCGAAGTAAGCGCGGCGCCCGTGCCCACCCCGCCCCGCGCCCCCTCACCGCCTGCCCGCCCGCCCGCCCGCGCCCGAGGCGGCCGAGGCGCGGGCGATGCGCGGCGGGCCCGGTTCGCCGTGCGCAGCGTGAAGCGCCGACGGGGAGGGCTGGTCGCGCTCGTTGCGCCGCTCGCGGGGGCTTCTCGCCAGCCTTGTGTCTGCCAGGAGCGCGCCCGGGAAAGGGGCCGGGAGCTGCAGGAAGCCCCCTGCCCCTTCGCGGCTGCTTTTTGTGGATTGTGCCCTCAGACGTCTGCGGAGGAGGGAGAAGAGGCAATCCACATCCGTCGCTGCGTTGACATGTGGCAGGGGCGAGGGCGCCCTCGGGGGCGAACGCGGCGCGGCGGGCTTGTCGGGGGGCGTTTGCGGGGGACGAGCAGGGGGCAGGGCGGGGGGCGGGAGGCGCGGGCGTCGGAACCGGCCTGGGGCGGCTGCGAACCGGCCGCAGGTGGCTGGGGGCGAACGCGTCACCCCCACTTCCACTGGCGGCCTGCTTGGGAGGGAGCCTCCTCCGCTGGCCGGGCGGCGTGCGGAGAGGCGAAAGCGGGCGAGGGCGACCCGGGAGCGCGGGGAGCGGCGGGACGCGCGGAACATCTCCTGCTGTGTCCACGGGAACCTCTCAGAAGTGGGCGCCCCCCCCGTGGTGGGCACGCCACCTCCAGATCACAGCCAGGGTGCCTGTGTGCCCCAGCTGCTGGGGAACGTGGGCAGGAGAGTGCTTGGGTGTTTCCCGCGGGCACCGCTCTCGGTCTGCTCCAGCAGGGCTGCGTCTGCGCTCTGACCTTCTCCTGCGCGCACAGGTAGGAACAGGTGTTGTCAAAAGGGCAGCGAGAGGGACGTCTTTATTGAAATGAATTCGCTGCTACCAAAAACAAACAAAACCAGTTGTGTGGCGGCAGCAGCTGCAAATAGGACCGGCTAGGACCGACAATAGTTTTAAATTCAGACTGTTCGCAAAGCGTCAAACTGGCTAACCTCACGCAAGTCCGTAACTGTCTTTAACATTGCGATCCCATGTACGCATCCCTGGAGCAGCCATACGCGAGGAGGCTTACTTCTGAGGAGACACACATTGGACTGCGCTGTAAATTGCTATTGCCTTGGGGGAACAATAGCCTTCTTGGGCTGGGGCTTCAGATTTGTTCCCGATAGCGCTACAATTTGGAAGAGTTTAAAATGCAGCACTGCATGTGTTTCCTTCATCGCGGTTGGCACACGTTTTTCACTATATTTTATTACTGTAACACACCGTGTGTATTGAAACGGTTGTACAGAATGACGCTGCAGTTGGGTGGAGTCAGAAGAGGAATGTAAAGTTGTGCACTTTGCAACTGAAGTGGCGCTTATAGCCATTTAAACCTAACTCCAGCACTCCCCACTGTTGCTAAAACCAGTAAGTTCAAGGTCTTCAATTACCCCGTTGTACCACCAGTTGTTGTGAAGATAAAATGCAAAGCAGGATTATCCAAGCCACCTTGGGGTGCTGGGGAGATAGCTGAAGTAGAAATAAATAAGTAAATAAATAAATGCTGGCTATCATAACCTCCAAGTTCAATATGCCATTTAAAAAGCATTTGCTGGAGAACAACAAGTATCCAGATTGGCCATTTATTGCAGCAGTTCCAAGCTTTTTCCCTCCAGCTGTGCTGACCTACAACTCCCATAGTTCACAGTCCAAGACTGTGGGTGTCGTAGCCCCGGCATATCTGGAGAGCGCCAGAATGGCCCATCCCTCTAACCACTGTACCGTGCTTCCCGGCAGCTTGCAAAGCAAGTCAGTGCAGGGAAGGATACCAGCGAGGGTCTGGTCTGAGGCAGCTCGGCTCTTCTCCTGCTCGTACTGTTTCGTAGGCTGTGTTGCGGCCATCGGTACACGGAGACCAGCCTTTCCCACCTGCTGCCCTCCAGCCTGTGGGCTGCAGCTTGCCCTGTTCTCAGCTGGCATGGCCAGTGGTGTCTTGGTGTGCAGAACAAGAGACCTGGGTCAGGCTGCGGCAGCTCCCAGCCAAAGCAGGCGGTGGGGCAGACCTTCAGCTTGAGACTCGGATGCAGGCATAATCGAACGGGTGTCTTCCGCATGTATTAGTCCAGGGCACCTTTGGCCATGTAGTTGGGAATGATGGACATTGCAACCCAAACAAACCCGGAGGGCTTCGGGGTGAGGAAGGTTGGTCCAGATCAGCTTCTGTGCATGGGCAGCTTTGCACTTCAGAACACTCCATTAAGGCAGAAAAATGTGCAGGGCACACCTGTAAGGCTTCCTTAAACCAGAGCAGATGTTCTGCCCATCTCTCTCACCTCCATCTGTCGTGCCTGGGAGGGCCCTCCAGGCCTTGCATGGGTAAGGCAATTGGGTTCCCTCTGGAGGAGCCACAATGACCAGCAGCCCCAGCCAGCAAGGTCAGGGATGATGGGAATTGTGGTCTGCTGGAGTGACACCTGCGGCAGGCTCTCAGGAAGAAAATGGCTTTTCACCATCACCAGCTTACCTGATCCTTTGAACCTGCGGGGATGTCCTGAAACCCCAAGTGGCTATTCAACTGTGCTAAATCTCTCCCCCAAATGTGAATTCTCTCCCTGCTTTCCCGGCCAATTTTAACTTTCTGAGGTGGAATATGATTTCTTTTTTACACACACACAGATGCATATTGCAGTCATTGCCAATTGTTCTTCCTCAGTCTACTGTTCTTTCCACTTCAAAAGCCAAAAAATGTCAATATTGTAAAAGAGATCAGCTTTTTCAAAGCCCTCTTGCAAAAGCCTGGGAAGGGAAAACCAGAAGAGCTAGCCTGGAGGGGTCCTACCTGCATTGAAATTTAATCATACCTGGGTGCTTTGAAGATGCATGATCCAATTAGTCAATTAATTAACCGATTGCAGCTCCTGGGGCTAGAGGGATGGCACTTACACGGAATGCAGAGGTGATGTTTTAACATTAATTTGTTTTAAAGATTTTATAGAATTCCCTTTATCTTTAAATCTTACAGGCAGGTGGGCTGTTCAGGAGTTCTGTTTTAGAAATGCAGAATAATACTCAGTATTCCTAGAACACTGACCCCTCCAATCCTGACTGAGAGTGATGGGTGCTGCATTCAAACATATCTGGTTGCAGAGGGCTCTGGTGCCCAATGTTTTAAGTAGGGATGCTGAGCCCAGGGCCTTCTGCATGCAAGGCATAGGCTAGGCTTAGCCAGGTGGCCTCTTGGGCCTCTCTCTCCTATTCTCTGCTTGTACATCTGCAATCCTAAAATAACACATCTTCACAGGTCAAGGATGGGGTGTCCCTGTTCAGAATTTCAGCCATTCCATTCAACCTCTCCTGCTTTTTCATTTACCTTCCCCCTCGTCCAAATAGTCAGCCAGTATTTTGTGGCCAGTAAGCATGCTCAGTTCTTACAGGACTGTTCCTTTTTTTCGAGGGGGGCAGGAGGGGGCTGCTCTAAGAATCTTCTGTGCTTCTTCAAACCATGGGTTCTCCCCCTCCAACTGTTTCCTTCTTCTGAAGAGTGGGTGGTGCCATTTTGGATGCATACACAACTGCACTCACAGCATAAACGTAAGAAATGGAGTGAAGGACAATACTGGCCTTACTTGCAGGGTTGTTGTGACAGTGCTCCTTTGAAGCCAGTCATGTCTGTCTTCAGCTTGACTCAAGTTTGCATTGAAAGATCCTTTGGAGTCTTTTTCATTCATCTTTAAGTTTCCAAGTAGATTAGGATACATCCAGTTTTTCCTCATAAATATTATGGACTGAAAAATAGTCTTTGGACACTATGGATTGCATCCAGATTTATCATGGTTCCCATGGACCCATTGAAATCAACAAGGCAAGTTACTCTTGACTAACTTAAGTTCCATTGAGTTCACTTGGTCTGATCTAAGCACAACTAAATCTGGATTCAGCTTTATCACTGGGACTTAAGTATGTCTCTCCTGTAACTAAATCCAAGGGGCTGACATACCTTAAAACATGGTTTATGGAGGATTATTCATGCCACAGACTGCTCCTGACTTCTCCGCAGTTTTATGCATGTGAAACTCTTTACTAACCAGCAAACTAAATGCTGATTCACTTGTCTATTATCCTGACTTGACACCTTCCCACTCATGCATCAAGCAGGCTGTCCCTTTTTTAAATTCTGAAGCACAACATGTGTGTTCGGTCCATTTAATAGTCATGAGTTGAAAGAATGCGCAATTCGTATTTCAAAATATAAAGCATCCGGAGGTGAGTGGGGTGGGTGGACTGGTGATGGTAAGGATTCTAGCCAATGGGTACCAAACACAATTTTTTTCCAGGAAGGGAGGTTCTTCACATCAGCGAAATGCAAAGAATGGTTTCTCCACCCAAGATGTTGTGTACAGAGCAGCAATTTTCTTTCACTTTTATTTTTCCACTAGGGTCTCACCTGTTCTCCCTGCTTGGCAGCTCCAGAGTCTAAATGTCACTGGTACAAAGTGTGGGGCCCCACAGCCTGTGTGTGTGTGTGTGTGTGTGTGTGTGTGTGGCACAGATGAACATGGTGCTATGCTTTGAATCTCAAATACAAAACTTTGCATACTCCAAGATTTCTTTTTAAACAAACGTATGAGGTTTGGTGAGCAAGTTTGCTGTTTTAACATATCAGGAATACAGAAGCGGTCATAAAGCATGAAGTGTGGGGAGTGGGATTGGGGGGGAAATGTGAGCTGGGTGCTTCACGAATGAGGTCATATACATGGCCATCAAACATTCATTGAATCCAGGGCCTAAAATCACCAACCTCAAGGAGTGATAAGAAACTTTAAAATTGCTCTGTCCCATTCATGAAATCCTTTTCTGTTGCCTTCCAGATTCATTCCAGTTTGGTGACCACTGGGTCTTCTCCTTCGATATGACCTCTATTTCCAGCAGCTCTGATGTCAGGCTGGCTGAGCTCCGGGTTCGCTTCCAGTCATTCTCCCAGTCCAGGAATGTCACAGTGAGCATATACCACAGCCACGATCACATCTGCCATGGGAACCAGACCTGCACAGAGAAATTCTTCCTTGGCTCATTCATCAGCAATGCTTCTGCTGGACATTCCTCCTGGAAAGTCTTCAATATCACCAGCTTGCTCCGCTTTTGGCTCCACCAAGGGGTGCCATCTGGCAGGAGTGATCCAGAAGTTGTAGAGGAGGACTGGATGGAGGGAAACCTGTATGAAGATGAAGGCCAAGGAGGAGCAGTTAGTGGGGTCCAGGCTGCATTTGTACACAATGGATCTGGAGAAGCCGCACAGGTATCAAGCCACAGCAGAACTGACAGAGTCCTCTTGGTTGTCTTCTCCAAAGAGAAGGAACTGGAGGAGCCTTCTCAGGGCCCAAGTCTCATCAGGACAGTAGAGATGTCCAAGCATGTCATCTTGGCACATGCTTCTGAAGACCCTGGAAATCGTCGGCACCGACGGAACAAAAAGCAAAAGCAGAGGATTAAATTGAGCAACAACCACACCCCTGGCAAGTCTCTGTGCAAGAGGGTTGATATGATGGTGGACTTTGAGAAGACTGGCTTTGGAGACTGGATTGTGCACCCCAAGAAGTACAACGCCTACCGATGCGAGGGAGACTGCCCATCTCCAGTGGATGAGACCTTCAAGCCCACCAATCATGCCTATGTTCAGGTAGGAGGAGAACCACATCCTCTGTTTCTTTGCAGAGGTTCTGTAAAGTAGCAGGTAGGAAGGTCTGTAGAAGCTTAGGTAGGGCAGCCACCCATGCATTCCCCCCAAAAAGGAGGGGGAGATGCATCATCAGAAAAGATGTCTGCTCTTCACCTAACGTGATGTGCTATGAGCATCCATTAAGGCACAGCCAGAAATAATTTCTGGAGCTCAAATTGGAAAGCAACACATCTCACCATCCTGGGTGCCATCTGACCTGTGTCCAGGTGCTAATCGTGAATGCCCAGCTGCCAGACTCCTGCTCTCTCCCTTCTGGTTCTCAGTTTTGAAGGTGCTTCTCTAGATCAGGGACCTTGCTCTCCTTTCCCTCAAAAAATGCTCCCCGCCTTGACTGCCACCCCGCTGCATAAGGTTTCATTTCCTGCACATAAAGCAGCTCTGGGGGAAACGGCAGGCTGGCTGAGCTCAGGGGTGGTGGAGAGCACAGTCCCAATGTCACGGATAAAGCAAAGTTGAATTTTCAGGCCCATTGGCTTCAGTATGGGGTGGAGTGAGCAAAGGTGAACTTGTCCTTCCCCTCAGGCATGTTGGTCAGGAAAAGAGGAAAATCCAGCCCTACAAACAGTTTAAGTAAAAGTTCCTTCTTCAGGAGTTAAACATACAAAGGGCCACAGGACAGCCCTTGAGAAAAAAAAAATGCAAAAATGGCAGATGTTGGAAGGATGTCATGCGTAGAAAAGGAACCATGCTTTCTTTTTCTATGCATTTTCTTGAGTCAGTCCTGATTCCCCCCACTTACACCACTGATCTTTCTGGTCTCATGGGTCTCATTTTCTCTGGGTTGAAGTAAAGGGCCATAATCTTGCCAGTGCTGCAGTGAGGTCTGGAGCTTGGGACTAAAGTCTGGGATACCCACAGCCTGGGCAACCCCAAAATGGCCACCCAGAGAGTGGCAGGTGATAGCTGGGGCAAGCTGCATGTAGGCCAGCCTGGACACGACGGGCATCCCTGGACCTAAGGATACTTGCCACAGGATATCTATTATGTATTGAAAGACGTCCCCTAGTCAAGTAGCAGCTCTCTTGCCATGCATGTGATTACAGGTACATGTTTTATTATCTTGACTTGAACAGGGCTCATTCCTGAGTCAATATATTTACAATCAGGGCATCAGAAACCAACTCAGTTTTATTCCTGTAGTCAGGATGGTGCTGTGAGTTAAGACTTTAAAATGTCAGAGGGCACATGCTCAGAGTCCTTCATAAGTCGGCCAGGGTGACTTATTTTATAATGTTAATGTGTTTTATATTTTTAGTGTTTTATATTTTAACTTATGTTTTGTAAGCCGCCTCGAGGCTTCGGTGAATGGGGTGGCATAGAAATTTTAAAATAAATAAATAAATCATCTGCTGCTGCTGCTTCCTCCTCTTCCTCCTCAGCCAGGATTGGCAAATGGTCCTGCTTTGTTCCTTTGCTCTAGCATATCAGAGAAGTAAAAGGAATTGTAAAACATTGGATGGCAGGGAGGGTGGGAAATAAATGCTCATTGTGTGCTGCACAATGGAAATAATACCTTTGGCTACCCAGGAGGCTCTGTAAGTCTCTAAACCCGAGTTCTAACGTCACCTGGCTGCACCACTGGCCTTACCTCTGTCCCCCTCCCCCATTTCTCTGTTGCAGAGCTTGCTGAAGGCTTACCAGCCCAATCGGGTGCCTTGTCCGGCTTGCGCTCCAGTCAAGCTGAGCCCGCTGTCCATGCTCTACTATGAGAAGGGTGCAGTGAAGATCCATCACCACGAGGACATGATCATCGATGAATGTGGCTGCAACTGATGTTTGTGGGCTCTTGGCCAGCAACCACTGGGGCCTCCAGCAACCCGTCTCCACAAGGCCCAGCGTCCTTCCCCCTTTTGCAGCAGAGGCCCAGACCATCATCCTTGCATAAGAGGCCAGAAGCATGCTCCTTCTTGCCCTATGGAGAGCAAGCTGTTCCCCCCCACTAGGGTCTTGTCCCCATAAACTTTGTCAGAATGGGAGAACGGGTAGGCAGCAGATATGGTTGGGGGGCGCATCTTTCTAGTGGGACTTTGCGCTTATCCCTGAAGAAGATTTCACAAAAGATTCTCTCTGGCAGCCCCCTCTTCTGTCAGTGGGACTCAGCCGGAGGTGGCAGCAGTAAGCAGCCGCACTGTCCCAGGGCAACCGCCATTTTAATTTCCTGCAAGGATGCTGATGTGGCCTCACTGCAGGGCACTGTGGGAAATAAAAATGGCAGCTCTCAAATGCAGCTGTCCCACAGAACTTCTTTTGAATTGAAAGAGAGGCCCAAGAGCATCCCTTAGCTGCAGGCCCTGCCAGGGCAGTTATCCAAGGACGCCCAGGTGCCTTCAGACCAGACTTCCCCACACTGGACTAAAATTGCCAGCATTCCCAGACAGCCAGTAATGCTGTCAATTGTAGTTCAGAACATTTGGAAGACTCTCTTAGGGGAAAGATGAGTCTGCTCAGGTGCCTTTTTCCAGAGTCCCACCAGTACGAACCATCAGTGGAGACAGGGATATTTTGCCTGGAGGCTGGCATGAAATTCTAGGATCTGCAGTGGCAAAGAAAGCTGCTGAATGTCTTGCAAAGAAAGTTCTTCTGTGCATGACTGCAGCTTGACTGTAAGAGTTGTTCTATGCATGAGTGGAAGGCTGCATAGTCAAAGGAGAGGGAACACGGGAGCAGTACTCCAAAACATCTGGAGAGCCACCAATTGACCACTGCTAGACAAGAGCATGGTGTCCGTAGCACTGAGTCATTTTTGAGAAGGGGGGGAAATACTCCCCAGGGCCAAAATATGGTAGCCAGTTTGGAGTGATGGTTAGAGCCTTCCCAAACCTGGCACTCTCCAAGCATGGCCGTCCCAGCCAGTCTTGTGCGTGGTCAGAAAAGCTGAGGGTTATAGTCCAAAAAACCTGCAGGGCACCAGGTGGGGGAAGGATGGGTTGGAGTCTAACTATTAGATTGCCAGATGGGGAGTAGAGAGATCTGGGTTCAGCTGCAAATCTCCCAGGTGGCCAGCCACTCAGGGCTAGTCCACCTTACAGCCTTACTTGTTCGGGGTTTTTAAAGAGATGAACCATATGTGCGGCCCTGGACTGCTCGGGTACGCACTCCAAGGGTGGTGTAAACATTGTGTTTAAAAATGGGGATTCAAGGCTTTGCAGAACAGCAATACTGGGAAGATGGAATCTTCAAGAAATACTTAGAAGGAATTTCTAGCCAAACACCCTAGTGCTTCTGATTCTGCTGAAGACCCTTAGGGACAGAACTGGAAATGAACCAAGTCCATGAGAGTCCCCATGGACTGAACTAAGGTAATTCAAATTTATCTGATTTTGGGACAGAGACCACAAATAACTAGACAAAAGTGAGGCAGACATAGGTTAGTTCCAGCAACCTTGACTAAGAAGCATGTCTCGGTTCATGAGCAACAGGACTGTGACCTTAGTCTAAACCTAGTTAAGTTTTGGAAAGTGTGTAATTCTTTTCACTATCCCTTACTTCTAACCCAGTTTCTTTCCTATATCTCAATTGTGTTCAAATCATCTCAAGGGTGTCTCCGGCATTTAGAAAAAGGAATGTATTGCAAGTATTTCGAAAGTATTTCGGTTGATGATATTGTTATCAATGCTTGAAACAAATGCAGTATGGAAAATAAAAGACGGCTGCCCCATCTTGCTGTCCTTGCATGCAAATTGCGGGTGGGGCTTTGCACAAGTTCTGGATTGTGTCTTAAACTTCTTTTGCAAGTCAGCAAAGAACCTGAATCCTGCATCCCAAAATGACATCCCAAACAACCTCCGCAACCCTCACACTCTGAGAACGGAAATAACACATTAGGCAAATGTACACAGGTGCATTTAATCTCATAGGTTTATGACATTTCAATAATTTGCGCAGAATATGCCAGGAATATCTGCAGAACATCGCTCATTGAAATGAACGGGAGGGCTTAGCTTCATCTAAATGGGGATTGCTCGAGGATGCCCTCTGGTGGCTTAAAAATAACTTTCGCTTTTTTTAGAATCGGGCATTTCATAAGAAAGTTTAGGGCTCGGGAGAAAGTTGAGGCTTGCAGAACATTTAGGCAAGAGGGACTTTTAAAGGCAGAGCAAACACCGAGAGAGCTGGAATTAGGTCGGAACATCTGAAATGCATATTGAAAACAAGTCCATTTACACTCACCCAAGTCTAATCTCTGCTCTTGTTTCTGTGTGGAAACAGCCGAGGTATTTCATTTAATTCTTCTCCAAGGCAACGGGTCAATTCATATTTAGTCTCTCTCAGAGTAGACCCACGAACATCCACACAATGTAAGTTAGCTGTGACAAATGTGGGTAAGTTGATGTCTCCCCACCCACCCCTCAAAGAATTTGGGGCCAGTCATCCAATGATATTGGACAGTATTTGGGACAGGCAGAAGGAAGGTCTTCCTCACACGACACATGATCAAACAGTGTAGATCTCTGCCACAGAAGGTAGCAATGGGCACCAATGTTGCTGGCTTCAAAAGCCATAAGCCATATTTCCATTGGCACGCCATCTTTTGGACTGATGGAAATCTATATGCAAAGTGGGAAAGGTTGCCCGAAGGAGGGAGGGAGATTAACTAGTTATAATGGCAGGGACAATATGGAGCATAATGCATATTGACAATGGGCAACAAGATTCAGGGTCTAATCCTATCCATGCTGGAACACAAAATAGTCCTATAACTGCCAGCATTCCCTAGAAAGCAAGGCTGCCTAGAAACTGCGGGGAGCTGTAGAACATTTTTCCCTGGAAACATGCATAGGATTGTGCTCTTGGAGTGAGGACTGCAAAACTCTACACTTTGGAGGTAGAGAACACGTCTATTCTGCTATGTAAACCAGGGCTCCTTCTGCATCCCTCATCACCCTTTCTAGCAGCAGACGGGTGAAAAGCGCCTGGAGCTGAAAAGGAGTGCAAAGAAGCTGGAGAAGCTGAATATGCACAGAGGTTTATAAAACCTATGAGGGTAACCCTCCTCAAAAAAAGAAAAAAAAGTCCATGACAATTAAGTATGCTCATTAGGCGTGTTGGAATGTTGTCCATCATTTGTTTAAGAAATTGGGGAGGGGAGAATGGGACAAAGTATCATGGAGCAGAGCACGGTGGGTGAAAATCATGCATAGGATGGCTTTGTTTGGAAGTTAAGGTTGTGCTGCATCACTTCACTGTTGTTCTCATTTATGCGCTCCAGAACATCACAGATGGACATAGAGTCGAGGCCTGCTTGCCGGCACTCTGCTCAGGTGATCCTCTCAGGGCCTTCCCTATTTCTTGTTGAAGGCTATAACCTCTTGTACGCACAATTCATTTTCTTTGATTTAAAAGATAATGCTTCTCTTTTGGACCACCACCATTTATTAGAAAAAATAAGTCATAATGGGTAGGCAAGATGGGTACATAATAGGTGGGTGCAACATATACATTTTTATGTAATTAGGAACAGAAGAACAGCCCCGCTGGATCAGGCTCAGCTATACCCAGTTCAGCATCTGGTTCACAAGCAGCTGCCCACAGGAAACGACAAGCAGGAGAGGAATGTGGATATACCTCGCTGCCCATGTTCCCCAACACCTGCATTATGCTGTCTAAGTACGCAAAAGACAAGAAAGTGGTCATGATTGATTAAATATACTCTTGACTTCCCAGCACAAAAAGCCATCTCAAAGCAACCCCCTCCCCTGACACACACACCAGAAATCCATATTTAACAAAACTCTCTCTCTCTCTCTCTCTCTCTCTCTCTCTCTCTCTCTCTCTCTCTGCGCGCACGCACACGCACGCGCGCAGGAGAGTCAGTCTAAAGCACAATAATGCAATAATTGCTATGAAAAGAAATGTCATGAAAACATAATATAAAATAGTACGGTATGGAAAAATAATGCATTCCCCACCCACCCGCACTCAGATATTTCTTTTCCGGTTGTGTGCACTCTACAGTAGGGGAGAGAAATTTCAAATCACTGTATTATGGTCATTTGAAATGTCAGTGCAGTGGTCCAAAAGAGCAACTATGGGTTGATGGGGAAACAGGCTTCCAAATCTGAGTTTGGTCCAAATGTCAGCACTGAACTCTGCTCACAGCCCCTCCAGCCAGGACACCAGAAGCAGATATCCCCCCCCCCCCGCCCCCGCAAAAGAGTGATTTTCCAGGGATGGGTATCCAGAAAATAGGGACAACTGATGTTTGTACTCCCTCCTCTAAAGGCCTGGAAAACATCTCCACTCCACCCCCATTCCAAAATGGAAGGATGTAGTTTCTCCCCGCATCAGCATCCTATCCAGATCACACACCCCTGACTGGGCTTTGGGTCATGCCCTTTGATCTGAAGTCTGCGGTCTTTTGTGTAGTGGATGTTTGTGTAACCAGAATGAACTCCCTTGCTTTCCCCAGGAGTATCTTGTCATCATGGGGGGGGGGGGGATTCAGACACCTGCTAATGGCTCAGCTCTGTGGTATGGAGAAACAGATCACGTTTGCTTGTAAGCAACTAACTGTCCCCAGAAGAGGTGTGAGCGTTGAGCTCCGGGTAACTTTTCAGGCCAGAGAGCTGCCTCCCTGGGGAGAGGAGCTGTGCTTGCAAAAGATTTTTCATCAGCTGCTTTTTCCCCATGGCAAGCTATTCTTCTGGCTTGTGTGCCCTGGCTTGTCCGAGCGGATCACCTCCTCCATGCAGCATATCAGCAGTGTGACCAAGGAGTTTTTGCTGTTAATGTGGAACCATTTGGAAAACTTTGTGCAACCAGAACAACGTACT